TTGCAGATGAGGGAAATCTAGTTTCTCCTTTTGAACGCACAAGTTGTATTAGTACCACACTAACATCTGGATAAGAAAGAATGTATCTGTAAAGGAGCTAAGTGAGGGAAGATAGTTCCCTCACTTAGAAAAAAAGTATCTATACAGTGATATTTTTAAGTAGATAGAAGAGGTAAACTGAAAAGTGAGGAGACTGTAACTTTCTACATTTTCCGTATCTGAACATTTGTCATATTCACCAACAACATGAGCCAAATTTCCAAACATTTCCTTGTTCTGACGTGGGGTAGGCTACAAATGGTTCTATCTCCAGCTGGCTATTGGAAGCAAAAATATATGTTTATTAAATAGGCAACAATCAAAATCATTTGTTTTGCAGCATCACATAGGTAGGTCAACCTCAAATCTAGGTTAAAAAAATTTTTACCCACACTGGTACATTTTTAGGGGCCCTTGGAAGGTCAGATAAATTTGCTTTCTTGTTTCCCAGTGATTAAGATGGCGTTTTGGCTGAGGTGCGCCCTTTCAGGGAGCGTGAACACAACAGACAGTAAGCAACACCAGGCTTGGAAAACTAGGCAAGCAAGTGCAGGGTGGAACGCTTCTGAACGACTTATATCACCCAACAGCGCAGTCAGAGTGGGGCCTGCTGCTCCTGAGGCATATGCGATAGAAACCACAGAAGGGTGGAAACCTGCCAGGGAACCACGCTAGGACAAGGAAAAAAAAAAGAATGGAGTACAGAGAGAAGAAAAGAGATAGTGGAAACAAAATAAAATAACACAGATGGAGTTCCAGGAGTTTCACAGGATCAAACTACGAGAAAGCTACTTCTATTAGTTTAGATTTTCGGCAACTACTATGTCCTAGAAATTCTCTAACTTGGGTAAATGCATAAAGCACTAAGTCAAAATTAGGTACTTTCTACACCTAATTTTGGTTATTTCTGTAACAAATCTAAATGCAATACCCTTACTAATAATTTTCAACTTAGTTATGTTACAGGCTAATTAGAAAATTTCTTGCAAACATTTCAAAGTATATATAAAAAAGTATATATAAAATCTAGACTAATCTGTGGTCAAATGATTATATATTAAAGATGATTCTAATTAGCTCCTTTGTAATAAATACTAAAAATAAGTACTTATAGAGCAACACTTGAGTTAAAATTATTTTAAATCTGATTAAAAACAAGTATTAGCTGTAATTTTTGCAATAAATAGTAACTGAAGGGCCAATGACAAAACATTCAATTACAATCTAAGGATAAATTGAGATAACATGCGGAAAAAGTGAAATGGTGCTTGGAAAATAGCATACACTCAATAAAGTTTAGTTTTTTGTAATCTGGGACCAAGAGATGTTTATCAACAATAAACACAGTATTTGTCCAACATCAAGAGTCAAATCAAATCGTAGTTCATCATGGCTCCAAAACCAACTCCAAACATCTGGTTTACTCTTTCAATGACCCTTGTAAAATACTGACACTAGCCACTGCCTGTCACATAAGTTGTGGCATTTGTTTGCCAAATGACTAAATGAATGATCAAAGTTTTTACCTTATTAAAAGTGAGAAGCAACACAAAGTATTAAGTAAAAACAACAAAAGCACGAGGCATTATTCCTGACTAGTTTTTTTCAAAAAATACATAGCGCCCTGGCCAGGCGACTCGGTTGGTTGGAGTGTCGTCCCATACACCAAGAGGCTGCAGGCCTGAGCCCCAGTAAAGGCACATACTTAAGTTGAAGGTTCACTCCCTGGTCAGAGCACGCACAGGATGCAACTGATCAATGTCTCTCTCTCTCACCGATGTTTCTCTCTCTCTCTCTCCCCACCTTCCTAAAATCAATAAGCATAGCCTCAAGGGAGGATTAAAAAAATTACACAGATACAAGCACAGAAAAAAATCAGAACGAGAGCATAAAAATATTAACAATGATCATTTTTTTATGATGAAACTATGGATCATTTAAATCTTCTTAGTAGTGGTTTTATGCATTTGGAAAAATTTTCTGCTAGTGTTCCCAGTAAATATTTTTAAAACTTTTTTTTAAAAGTAAGATGTAACTGATGCAGAAATCTTTAAATCCATCCATATCCATATTAATAGTTAGTAATTTAAAAGCAATCTAAAAGACTTTTACTTAAAAATCACTTGAGAAACTTTTGAAATCCTTTCTTCAGAGTAAGCAGAGGTCTTGAATTGAAAAACAAAAGACCTATTTATGAACAAAATCATTTCTTTAGACTTTTCCAAGTTACTTCTGTTTGTCAGTCCTTCCCCCATAGCACCTTAAAAGCAGTAAATACAATAGATTTTTATTGTTACCCAGACTCCTAGTTGAGAAATAACTATGGAATCCAAACCTCCAAAGTGCGCGTGTGTGGAGGGAAGGGAAGAACAGGGTCGCCAGAGGCTGACAGCAATTCCCAAGGGGAAATGGAACTTTCCATACAAGTGGCCACTGAGGCACCTGGGAGCCACTCTGTCTGACAGAGACCTGCGGTGACCAGCTGCGCCTTTTGGAAGCACAGAACTTTAACTACTGCAAATTTAGGGGGGAAAGCACCATGCAGACTAACAACACTGCCCGTGTTAAGCTCTGTATTTTCTCGGAGTCAGACTTTGGTCAAGTAAAAGTAAAACTGGCCCCAGAGAAGAGGACAGTTTCTCACTTACTGCCATTTAAATCTCAAATGACCACATTTCACAGCATGCTCAACACATTCCAGCATGGAACTGCGTTTTAATTTCCTAAAACCACAGGATATAAGTCTGATTTCAAATAGCGTCTGGACTGTGATATTCAATACTGATAGAACTGTATGGTATTCTCTTGAAAGTTCCAAAGATTCAGCATGTGGAAAAGGATCTTCATTTTCTTCTGTTAAAAATGAGACAACAGGCCACAAACAGAGCCACCTGTGCTGAGCCCCATGTCAGCAAACGGGATTTAATACCTACCTTGATCAGTCTCGGCCTTCCCCGGAACAAAACCTGCAACCAGTCAGCCTGGAACGACCTGGTCAGCACTACCGAGGTAAACGGCCTGACGTCCCCTAAGAAAGTGGCCTTGCCACAAACCACCAGCTCTTTGCTAGCGTAACTTGCTGGTCTCGCCCTCCTCTACCTATAAAAGTCCCCCGCTTTGTAAGAGCGCCTCATAGCTCCTCTCCATCTACTAGATGGGATGCTGCCTGATTCCTGAATCGCTGAATAAAGTAAGAGCTTTAAAATGTGCTGTTGAATTTGTTTAACACTTTGAAGCACCATTCTCAAAGGAATTTACTCCCCTGATTTTTGTAAATGAATTCTAAACAATGAATATTAAGAGCTACAGCTAATGCCATAGAAATGCAAATTAGATTATAGAAAAGAACAAGCTCATTGGGCATAGTACATAGTTGACAAAAACCAGTCGATAAGAGACAAGTTTCTTTGCCCGAAAACACTCATTAGTGCAAACTTTGGAAAATGAATTAAAATTCTGTTGACGTGAATGAATCTTTACTTGAATGTCAACTCGGTGCATGTAAATTATTCAGAAACCTTTTCAACTTTATAAAACAGGGAGCCTGTGATTGCTTTAATCTTCAAGTATTACATTAAGAAGAGAAGCAACCATTAAAACAGATCAAGAAGGAGTAACAAAAGGTGAAATTGTGTCATAAGTTTGGGAGTCAGAATGTAATTTAAGACCCTACTATTTATTCAGTTGGAAGAAACTTACAAAGATAATTATTTATATGTGAACATGAAATAATACACTAAGATGTTCATCAATTCTCTCCCTAAGGGACTGGCTCTAACCCGACCTTGAGAAAAGCTAAAGAAAAAAAGAGAGAGAGAGAGAAATCATTTTGAGAAGAGAGAATAGGCAAGTATATGCTTTCCTCTAAAATACCACTGCCTTTGGCTTTGAGCCTGAATCCAAATGTATCTTTTCATTTGATCAGAGGTGTAACTTTACTGAGAACAAAACGATGAGGTTCTGATTAATAATTTAAGGTACGGGAACTATGCAGCCCTGGTTATTCTGTGAAACCTCAGGATCTAGATAACCTGGGGCAAGCCTCCAGGCCCCCGGCCTAAGAAGGGGGGAGCTTCAAGCCACTGTCCATCAGATGCTAAGGTACAATCATGTGTAAGAAGTGCCCACACTTGATTTCCTAACAGCTGAAGATAACAAAATACAATGGTACATGCACCAATTTTTTATAAGGAAAAATCCTGATTTGTGGGGGAAAAATGCACATCTTAGAACACAAGAAACTGCTGCTGTTTCCCCCTTTGTCTTCCTACTTGATTTTTCTATTTACTCCCTCCCCGTCTCCTGGCCTTTCCAGCTCTTTCCTTCGGTTTTCCCAAACTTAGACCGCAGGTGGCTAGTAGAACAAGGTCTGCATTCTTAACAAGCGCACAGTGGGCATCTCTGGTGGGTGGTGAGGCCTCAAAGGCCAACGAAGTGCAGCGGAGGGCCCAGGAATGCCCCTCCAGGGAGAACACGCCCGGCACCTCGACACAACCAGCACAGGCACCTGGAGGGCGGCAGGGCGGGGCCTGAGTAACAAGCCATGGCGCACCAGGGAGGGTGAGACACGGGGAGGGTCCAGAACTGCACACGCGTTCAGAGAGAGGGGTCGGCGCCAATAACGACAAACTCCAAGGAGACTAAGTAATCTACTGAACAATTTTTATGCACTGTAATAGTTGTAAAAGTAATAGATAATGAAGTCAGCCCTCAAAGCATGATGTAAAAACTAGCCCAACAAGGGAAGCTTGGTATGCTAAGCAGCATAAGCACATGAGGTTTCTGCAAACCTGAATGTTGTCTGTGTGCACGTGGTCCCTCTAGCTCACACACACACACACGTGCACTCACGCACACGCTGCAATATACAGAAAACTACCTGGACCCTGTGCAGGATCACAGCCACAGGAATTCTAAAAACCAAGCCAAGGATTTCCAGTCGAGCTCTGTTCCACACATACCTGCCTCGGGGTCCTGGTTGAAGCGGCAGTACTTGGAGTTCTCGAGTGCAGGCAGGCACTGCTCGATGGGCACCCACACGTAGGTCTCGGGACACAACAAATCGGAAGGTCTGTAATGACCCTGGAGACGTGAGGAAAAAGACACCGGCATTACTGACACAGTGACTTCTTAGCTACAAGGCTCCAGAGTTCCAGGGAAGGTTTTAATCAGAAATTTAAATGAAGTCAACCAGAAACAGCTTTACTCTTAAGTACTAAACAGACTATCAGGAACTGCATTCTCATCTCAAGAATGCACATTTTATCCAAAGGCTCTTTAAAAGTAACACATGACCATTTGGGAATGCTTGCACAGATCTGGAAGATTTAGAGTTTCTACTATCTTTTGGAAGAAATAATTAACATATGATTCTTGCAGAGTTGATGGCTAAGAATCCTCATTTTCAAAATCAAGTTGTCTTTTAAATGCTGGTTAATAACACAGTGAAATTTCTTTCCGTATATGAGAGCATTATAATTTATATATGAAGTAAATTTATTGTCCTAAATAGAATTTCATTAGCCTTAGTCACAAATTTTTGAATTTGTAGACTCAGTTGATAATATTCATTTCATTCTAATATATTAAAAAGTGCTGTCTTGTGCCCTGGCCAAATAGTTCAGCTGATCAGAGCACCATCCCGATACGCTGAGGTTGCAGGTTTGATCCCCAGTCAGGGCAAACACAAGAATCAAATAAAGAAGGCATAAATAGGTCAAACAGCAAATCAATGTCTCGCTCTCTCTCCCTCCCTTCCTCTCTCTCTCTATAAAATCAATAAATTTTTTTAAAGTACTGTCTTGTCAACATACTTCCATGAGCAATCTAAAGGTATCAATGTAAATAAAGAGAAATCTAAAAACATTACAGAAATTTCAAAGGAACATCGGTGATAATAAACCTCTAAAGTTGCTTCAAACATTTTTTCTATTTTAGAAAAAATGATTTATATATTTATAAGCCAATTATGTACCCCAGGTCTAAAACAAAGATTATACAACAGATGCTAAAGAATAAAATATTATTCACCTAAGGGTAATTTGGTGGACAACATTTACTGAAAAATTTCAGAAATTTCAAAATAGGCTAAAATTTTAAATGTCTTTTCTCTAAATTTTAAAATCCAGAATTCATTAAAATCTAGACATTTTTCCGATTTTTTATTATTATAACCTAGATAAACATATATGCAAATATAAAACCAGAACAAACTTTTTACTATACAATGCTCTTTTACTATACAGAATGCTTACCCATGTTACATAATCCTTTATTTTCTACTCTACTCTATTTCATTTAAAAAAAAAAACATTACAAAGAATACTGCTACCAAAGGGCTTAGCACTGTTACATACAACAGCTTCACCTCAGAAAGGACTCTATAACCAGCCTGCTGTGTGCTGGTAACTATAGGAAGCATCACTCAGACATAAAACGAACACCATGTCTTCTCAGAATTCAAAGCGCTCAGGAATAATCTAACAAAGAGACTACATAAAATGTGCTCAAACAAATTAATTCCTGCTTGAGAGGTTGGGAGAGAGTTCAAGGGGAATGTGGAGTGTTACTGGGGACTCAGCAGATGACTAGATTAGGGCGTGGGCAGGGAGGTAAGCAAGGAGAGCTCCCTAGATGAAGGTTACAGCGTGAACAAAGCCACAGAGTTGGGCCTAGCACAACTCTGGGAAACAGGAAATGGCTGGGCTCTGCAGAAATGCAAAGGGAGGTTGGGATCACATTCTGTGGAGCCTCAAATGTCATGTCTTGGAGTTTATTCTAGAAGAAACGGGAATGCTTGCTGGCTGAGAGAGCAAGTGTGTAAGGATGACTACCAGAACTCAGGTTTCTGATGGATCTTCCCAGAGTATTTACTGAATTGCTGATGCCTCACTGCCCTACGCAGGGTAGCTCCAAGTGGTCCACACGCTTACCTATTATTATAATTCGTAACAGAGAAGTATTTAAATAAGTAATTTACTTAGGAAGTGTGACGTAGCCAGATATTCCACTGATGACATCTCATCAAAAGCAATGGTATTCTCTCCATTAATTTAGAAACTGTTTTGGGGGAAGGGACAGGATTATGTGAATCTGTTCATAATATTAACGAATCTGAAAACATACACAGCAGTCTAAATCAGTGGTTCTAAATCGTTTTTTTTTCCCTTTTTGATTATAAACCATTCTGAAAATCTAATGAGGGTTAATAAAGCTACATACAAAAGCTAAACATATAAAACTTCCGGGGGCGGGGGGAATAAAGGAGTACATTTTCTTGCAGAATACAAAAACTTCTTAGTACACAAAAAAGAACCATAGAAGAAAAAACTGATAAAGTAGGGTTCATCAAAATTACATACTGCCTTCAAAAAATTATTAAAAAAATGAAGCCAAAGACTGGGGAGCTATTAACAAAACATATATCAGGCAACAGATTTGTATTGAAAACATGTAATTTAACAACCAATAATAAGAACAATGCAATTTTTTTTAAAAAGGCAAAAGACAAACACTTCACTACAGTTACACAAATGTCTAATAAGCACACGAAAAGATGTTCAATATCAGCTACTAGAAAAACAAATAAAACCGTAAGATACCACTGAAGACTCACTAGAATGGCTAAAATAAAAAAGACTGAAAAACAAGTTTTGGCAAGGATTTGGACTACCCAGAACTTGGAAACGGCTGATGTAAAATGGTGCAACCATTTGGGGAAAATATTCTCGCATATTTCTATCATTGGTGATTGTGTCTAGGATAAATCCCTTGAGCTGGAATAGTTGGGTGCCAGGGTTTTAAGCTTTTGAGCACGAAACTACTTCCCACAGGAGTCTTGCCACTTTATAATCCCATCAGCAGCATGACGGACGCACGCACTCATTTCCCCACATGCCTTCCGACCCAGGACACTACCGAAACTGTTGATCTTTGCCAATGTGAGAAATGGCAGTTCACAGTGGCTTTAAACGTGCATTAAGCATCTTTCCACGTGTTTAAAGAAATTTGTTTTTCCTTTTATATAAGGTTGGCCCACTGTGTTGTTACATTTCAGGTCTTTTCTTATTAAGAACTCTTTATATATTAAGGAAATTAACTCTTAATGTGTAAAATATGTTGGATTTTCCTAGTTTACGTGTCTTTTGACTCTATGCTGTGCTCTTTGTCATGTTAAAGTCTAATAAGTGGTAAAAAAAATATGAGTTTTTAAAAATGGTGTCTGGATTTTCCAATATAATTAAAAAGGCCACTACCACTCAAATATTATAAAAACATTTTCATGTTTTTTTCCTAGTACTTCTATGGTTTCATAATTTTACATTTATGCTCCATCTGGAATTTATTTTGGTGTAAGGTAGAAGAAAAGGATCCAACCTAATTTCTTTCAGATGTTTACCAAATGGCCTCAACATCATTTTCTGAACAATCGTCATTTCCCCCAGTGATTTAAAATATCTTTTTGATAGCTTACTAAATTTCCACATATATTTATATCTCCTTCTGGACTTTCTATTTATTCTGTTACACTGATCTGTCTACTTATATGCCTGTGCCACACAGTTTTAACTCTTAAAGTTTTATATTATATTTTAGTACCCAGTAGATTTGTCCCCCGCCCACTGCTATTTGCTGAATTTTCTGGCTCTTTTTGCTTAATTTTTCTAGGACTCTATATTTAGTATATAAAAATATTACGAATATGAACAAGAAAATAGTAATAAAAATGGAATGATCTATCTCCCTATTGTGATGGCAAAACATAAGAGAATGCCAAGAATGTCCAGTAAAAAGAAAATACATGTACCATGTTAAGTTTTAAAAAATCCCAAACCTAAATGACATCATTTTCTAATTTAAGCTGGACCTTAGTGCTGACTAAGATGCACAGATCAAATATTGAGAGGGCTTGAGGGGAGCAGGCTTCAACTTTGAGCCTTCCCGGTTAAAACGGACCCATTTCATGTGGATATGCAGATTCAACAACAGCCCACAGAACCCAGTGTCTGGATTTAACAGTGACGCTAATGGAAAACGCTCAGTCAACGAACATCACCTGGACCTTCACTATGTAACAGGTGCTAGGTGCTGGAAAGAGGTCAGTCCACTGGCACTGACTGGCCTGGGCGAGGCCTGCACAGGAATATACCAAACGTGACCATGCAAACTGTCCTAAGGGCCTAAGGTCTCACAGCGTTCTTTTTTAAGGCAATATTCGCTCATAACAATGGGTGAGAGAATTTATTTTTAACTCTTTAAATACTTAGTTTATCTCACTGAAAAACCATAAATGTACTCATTTTAACTTCTGTTCATCATCAAAATCAGATTCATACGTTAGGTTAAAACATTATTTTTTTCCCTAAGTACAGGGTTGTTACAGTGCTACAAATATTCTCTCAAGCTGTCAAAGAATTCAAAGAATTTTATGAAATAAAGCACTTTGAAATGTTGTGCTTTAAACTTAGCTGGTTGAGAGCTAAGTGACCGAAGTGCTTAAAGTTCAATTTAAAGTCGCCACCACACCAATGAAAAAATGCAGGGTTTGAAAGACACCCTGCCTTTTCAGCTAGGGTAGGAAAATGAGAAATGTCTGTATTAAGAATGTAATTACTTAAGGATTTGGACATACTTTCCCGTGTTCAGAAGAAGAGAATACTTAATCAACCTCTAAGTACATTCATTCATACTGGAACAATGAGGTAAAAGCAGATTAATTCCTTGCTAGGGAGACTTTTGGTAAATAAGAAATTTGAGTTACCACAGATTTTTAAAGTGCTCAAAATTCTGAAGTGGCCTGACAGGGCTAGCTCACAATTTTTGAGAGCATTCTTTCAGTGTGATCTACAACTGCGGAAGATGCGCGCTAGACACCCCCCCCCCACCCCCGCAACCCCCTCAGAAACACCCGAGGAGGACAGCGCCACAATGTCACCGCACCGCGCAGGGCACGCGGCCGAGGAGGGAGGCTGCGGGCAGGACGATGCAGTTCAAGGTAAGATGCCCAGAAAAGGGGAAGCTATCTTCTAAAAAGCCTAAAAACAGAGGAGGGAATGCGTATTTTTCATTGCTAAATTAGTTTC